CAGCAGTAGGGCAGCAGCAGGGGCTGCTGCTGCTGCCACAGCGGCTGTTGCTGCTGCTGTTGCTGCTGCTGCTGTTGTTGCTGCTGTTCTGTAAGCCTCAACGCGTGTGAGCAGCAGCAGCAACAAGAAATTCGATGTTCTTTGGTTTTTATTTTTATTTAGGAACTTTTAATTTTGTAAGCTATCTGTTTGCCGCTGCTGCTGCTGCAGTGGCACAGTACACACTGCAGCTGCAGCTGCAGCAGCAGCAGCAGCAGCAGCAAACCTCCCGAGTGACCTTGACTGTGCGGTTGCTGCTGCAGTTGTTCTTGCTGCTGCTGCTGCTGCAGCTTCAGTGAGCAGCCGAAACAGAGAAAACAGCCGCAGCAAAACCACTCACGTGTAGGACACAGGAGAAGCCGCAGCTCCGCCCGCAGCAGCAGTTGTGCAGCAGCAACAGCGGCAGCAGCAGCATTAGTTGTTGCTTTTTCTTCTTTACTCAATTTCTGCGACGTGTCAGCTTGTTCTTGTTGCTGCAGCAGCAGCGAAGCTTCCTTTGGAAGCTCAGCAGACAACGGGGCAGCAGCAACAGCAAAAGCGGTAGCAGCAGCAGCAGCTGCAGCAGCAGCAGCTGCAGCAGAAGCAGCAGCAGCAGAGGCATTGACGTCAGCCGGTGGCGTAGCATACCAAGATGTCTTTGCATCAAGTGGAGCAGCAGCAGCCGCCGCGGCAGCAGCTGCAGCAGCAACTGCAGCAGCAGTTACAGCAGCAGCTGCAGCAGCAGCAGCTGCAGCAGCAGCAGCTGCAGCAGCAGCAGCTGCTGCTGTCCCCACAGAGCGGCTTCGCCTCTCCTACTACTCCGTCCCAGAAGCCCTCAAGCGACTGCAGCGAGGAGGACGAGTGTCTCCCGTCTGCTGCTGCTGCTGCTGCTGCGGTCTTCGCTGCTGCAGCAGCCTGCCTCACCTGCAACTGCCCACCCGAGGGCAGCAGCAGCAGCAGCAGCAGCAAGTGCTGCTGCAGCTGTCACGTCCCGGCGGAGGGGCGGCTCC